CTATGGGGTTGATTGCTTGTTGGTTCAAACTTAAAAAATGTAGAACATTAGGTTTACATGGTCAATTAACAAGTACTCTGCGTAACTTCTCCCGGGGGACCATGGCTACTACTACTAGTAAAGGAATTGCTTTAGAAATTAGAATCTGGACAGTGCGAGAGAGAACCAACTTTCATCACCAAGTAGAATGGTGGATAGCGATTGGGGGGAACGAAGGAAAGTAAAGTTATTCTACTTTGATTCCAATGAAACTATGAAAGTCGAGTTCAGGACCTCTTCATTCAACTTCTTTACCATGTACAGCGACAACTGACGAAAGATTATCGGAAAGAAGTCATTTGGAACTGCTGCCCACCCACGAATCACACACTTCGCTTTGACATGGGGCATGTGGTACTTAGAATGTGATGACAAGGACACCACAAATTGAAGGCTGGGGAGAAAGAAGTCAATCCCATCTTTATTATTTCAACTTTAGTTTAGTTTCTCTGTAACCTCTGCCTCAGGAATCTTAATCTCTATGGGGGATTTATGCTAAAGTCATTCCATTAGTGAACTCCTTATCCCTAATTGGGTTGATTATTTATACCCTTTATATTACAAATTTGCAAAGCATACAGTCATGGAGTTAAGCCACTTTAGCCGTATGATATTCATGCCATTGAAATCTTCGATTGAATTAATATATTCCGATTTACAAACTATTTGTCACATGTCTCTATTTGTGGAGAAAAGTTTCTGCTAAATCTGCAAAACAGCTGTGCAAATAGTAGGATCTATATATTCATTCAAAAATAAAATGAAAAAATAAAAAACAAAACAAATGGTGAGTCCAAATTCTTGCAGCATGGACAAATGGCAAGTAAATAGGTGGGGGTGGGTTGTCCTGATCCATCTGCAGTCCCTGTCCCCCTACTCCCAAAACACTCCCTGTAAAGTGTCAAATACGAGACATGTATGTAGCTGTTGGTTGATGCAACCAAAAAAGTATGGAGAGTGAAGTGACCAAAAGACGAGGATAGGTGGGTACCGGTATCGCTGCTTACTTTTCTATTCTAAAATTTCTAATCCAAAGGATGCCGCAAAGCATTTTCCAGTACCGATGAATATAGTCTTGGAGTGGTTGTGTATTGTCTATAAAAGTTTCATAGATCTCTAGAAATGCTGATTCGGCCATTGGTTGTTTAGTTTAGCCAGAGCTGAGCTGGGTCAGGTTCTTGAGGCTCGTAGTAACTGGTATCAAGAGCATTTTGGATGAATGCTTTGCTGTGTCTGTGTGTAGAAGGTGGTGCTTAAATATTCAATATTCCCAATTCCTCAGAGAAGCCAATTCGGGTGCTGAATTCTGATTGGCATTGGCTGGCTAATGCAGGTCATGGGTTGGGGGGAGCTCTAATGGGGTTTTGTTCTTAGATAATTCTTTTGTTTTTCTCTTTGTTTGTTTGTGTGATTGTTGGGGGAGGTTTATCCCCCACAATCATTCATCAGAAGTGTCAATGGACAAGTTTTGGGTTGGATCCGTCCAAATAAAAATCCAAATTCGTAGGCAAATTCTAGGGATTCCTAGTTGGGAAATGTGAGAAACAATAGAAGCCATACATGCTTGATTGTTGAAAGGACAAACAGAAAACATCAGGAAATTAAACAAAGAGATGCCTGGGAAATGTGAAAACTGAAAAAGAAGATGCCCTCATCCTCAAAAGTGTTATGAGAAATGCTTTTCTGATGAAGGGAGTTTCTGAAAAGAGAAGATGCCCAGATAGCGTGCTTTGGAAATGGGCAAATGGGATGAAGGTAGATTGAACTCTCTGTCATTTTCTACCCTTTTCTTTGGCTTTCGCATATATTTCTGGTCCCTCCAACCCCAACTGGAACTCAGGAACTGGCAACTACTAACTACTGGATATCATGTAATGTAATATTGGTGCTACTTACTGAGGCCTAGACCAGTCTCCAAATATTTTGGAACAACTCTCCGGCATCTACCTCAAGACAATGTTGTGTCATTTTATAGCCTTTTCTTTATCTGGGAATCTTTTAAACGGATTGAGTTTGCCTCTGTTAGCTTCAGAATTCAGATTATTCCCCTCCATCTCCGTGCATGTCTCAGACTCTAATTGCTTTTCCTCCTATTTATTCTCTTTCTCTTTCTCCTCAGTCTCTCAGCCTCAGTTTGGAATGAGTACAAATACTACAAATATGCTGGTTTTCCAACTAACCTTTATAAAGCTCTTAAGGTTAGCTTTCCGTGTCAATACCTTTAAAAAGTGTGGTAATGTCTCCATGTCAATACCCTTATAAAGCTTATAAGGTTAGTTTTCCAACTAGTCCAACTTTCCCATGATAACATTGAATTAGACAAGATAACAGAGAAGTGGATTTTTTGAAAACCATACTAGAAGAGGTATTTTTATGCTTCGTTCGCTTTTCGGTATGTTATTTATCCGGATAAATGCACTTAACCTGATAAGTGCATTTACCCATGTTATTTTACTTCCCATGTAAATAAGGCAATGCCAATCTTAGCCATAAAAATTCCATTATTAAAAGGGGCATTTTTGTCCCATCCAAGTATTGGCAACTTTCCCCTAGATGGGAAAGTTAAATTACCCACCTAGGAGATAGATATCACTTATCCAGGAAAATAAACTTTTACCAGTCCCCACATAAATCTAAAAAATGAATATGGATTTCTTGGTCAATGAGAATCAAAATCCCATTGACCAACCAACTTTCTCCCATCTCAAAATCCAAAAATAGAATGCCCCTTAATGTAACTTATGGTTCAATGTAAAAAAGAATTACCAAAGGGTCGAGGCTGATTTCTTTTAAAACTGTTAATCTAAACCATCCAACCCCACTTTGCGACTTTGAGTCTCTTCACCTCTTTTTGACTTTGGGTCAAGTGGTTTGATCATCTGGCTTGAAAGGATAGTCCATTGTAATTTAAAACATAAAAATAAAAAAATTAATTAAAATTAAAATTAGCCAAAACCAATGTTCAGGTCAAATGAGTGGACAGTTCAACTTCCCGGTTCAATGAATCACTGACCAAATCAACGGTTTTTTAACAAACGGTTCAAAGTGAAATAAAACCAATTGCCAACCTGAGCAATTTCCGGGCCAAACAATCCAACCGTTTGGGTCAACAGTGATTAGAAAACCATGACCTGAACTATATAAATCCTTATATAGTCACTAAATCCAAATTCAACAACTAAGAGCTAAGAAAAATATTATACGAGTCCAATTTAGCTTTCAGATAACAAGGACAATCGGGACTACCTCCCCCCCCCCCAAAAAAAAAAAAATTGAATTTTTTGGAATACATCCATCCAATTACTTACTCAAAACAAAACTCGCACCTCAAGGTACAAAACAAACAAACGCCACGTTTCTTTCTAGCTTCGGCTCCACTTTCGTCTCTGTTGTGAGCAGAGGGACAACTAAGATAAACCATTAACCTTAACCAGGCAGATGCCAGATGGTGGTTTTATCCTCTCTTTAGTGCCTGAATGAACGGTTGTTTGGGCCTTTACTTCAACTGTATGGATTGCGCATTGATCTTGGGCCTCTTTGAGTTCAACTGATGGCCCAGGCGTGGCTCATTACACTCTCGACAGTACACAGGACGCAGTGCAACTTGGGCCGTTGGGCGTGCTCAGGTTAGGGATGGACCTGGCCCGAAAGATCAGGCCCAATGCAGTGTAAATTCCTCAAATTGGGAATCCCATTTGCACATCAGGTCCATCACAACATTGGATCCTGTGGGCTGTGGCAACTGCAGGAATTCCTTTTGTCCTTTTTCAAGGTTTGCATTTATTTGGAGTCGTTTGTGTGTGTGTGTGTGTTTAGCACACATACTGTACATGGTCCTTGTATCAGTATGGTCTAGGAATTAGCATGATTAAAGACTGAGACATTCTGCTTTTGCTTTTGTCTCTCTTAAGTTTTATATGAATATGAGATTAGAAAGCAGAGGGACTTATCTCTGCCCATACAGTTCTACGCCTACTCAAGGAAATGTTTGATTCTCAAAGCTGTTTATCCTCATTTGCTATTTAAAAGTTGAAACATAATAAGCTATGTTTGGAGTCAAACTGCAGAACTGGAAACAAATTCCACAAATTCCAGAATTGCAACCAGGGGTATTTTGGGATGACTAATTCCCCCAAGGATTTCAAACACGTCCAAGTTAGGGAAGCTTAAACAGAAATCCTCCTTAGTTTAAATTCTACCGATTTTGAATTCCCAACACAATACAATGGGAAATAAGAATTGAGACAAAACAACGGTAAGATCCCAAGGTTTTCTACTTAACCTTGCAAGTGTGGGTCAACAAATTTGGCAAAGAAGCTCCTATTAAAAATTTGACATATTGCCGGCCTAAACTGGCTATTGGCCTCTTTCAGATGCTGTTGTGACAAAGCAAGAGAGAGAGAGAGAGAGAGCAGCAGCAAATACTCATTGATGTGAAGTGAGAGAGCAGCAAATACTCATTGATGTGAAGTCATCCATCACATAAGCTCTTATCTGTGCTGTTGAGAAAAGCCCTATTTTTTTGCCAGGAAGTTTAAACAACTAAAATTTGGCTATTAGATTCCTTGGACCATACTATGCTAAGAAACTCAGATAGAAGAACCATGCTGGCCTGTGAGCAGAGTACGACCTAATGGGTGTTGAATGCCTTGGCTTTTCCCTTGAGGTTGGCATAGCTTTATGTCAAAGCTCTGATGTCTTGTTTAGAAGAGGTTCCCTAGCTGTTCTCTATACATGGCTCCTTAGTGGAGAAGTTTGACAACATTTTCTGTATCCTTGCAATTTCACTCCATAAGCTAGGGGGTCTTGAGTCGTCTGACTGTCGACACTTGATCAAAGAGGTGAGTTTTCCAATCCTTGTGGAAATATGTAGAATTGCAAATTCTGCCTAATTTTCTATCATTTTCTTTGTCAACACATCTTTTCTCTGATGGTAGCACATCTCATTGAATTTTAAACAGTAAGCTTTTAAAGACAGAGTCCCAATTCTCTGCAAGGAAGAAGGGGTACCAAATCCCATTGATTGTGCTACATCTTCACTGCCCAAAGACTTTAGCTTAGTGCAAACAAGTGTCAAATTTACAGGCATCTGACATGAATATTTGTGGGGAGTGTCCATTTTAATGTCTTCAAGATTTGATGGACGAGGAAATGGTGAGATTAATTATATTGAACCAAACAATATTTGAAGAATTTAACTGATGCTCATCTATCATCACATCTTTACAATCTTTCTTCAAAGGATCTCTCACCATCTGTCTTCAACATCTGTAGCAAGAACTCATTCCATGTATCAATAGGTCCTGGTAAGCACCAGTGGACACAGTCATGAACTATTCTGTTTTCTTGTGGAAAATGCCCATAAGGACCAGGGTGCCCATCTGGTCTCAGCAATGTAGCCTGAGTGGTATCTAACAATCTAAGCTTCAAGCCTCGCTTCCTTGCTTTCCTTTCTGCAGCCCTATATTCCTCCATCTGGGTCAAATAGAACTCCAAATCAAACTCTTTTAGCCTCTTTTCACTGCTTTTGAAAGGTTTTGTCCTGGGACAGGTTCCTCCAGTTTTCCATGTCCCATCTTCGAAGTGACCAGTAGAAAATGTCCTAAGAAATACTACTCCTTTGAATTCCTTCCGCTTACTAATGGCTTTGAAAGCAGTCCTAAACGCCCTTCTGTAGCCATAGTACATGGTAAGGTCTTTCATTTTCTTGTCAAAGCAGATATGGCACCCTACAACCTTGCCATGTTCATAGAACAGAAGTGGCCGCCAGAACCACTGCCCAGCTGAGATGATCACATAGTCAAATTTGTCAATCTTGGTTATCCAGGCCTCATCTGGTTCATCTACATACAGGTGCATGAGACCAGTTGTCTCTTTTGGCCAGGTGTCCTTGGCTTTTACTAGTTGTGGAGACCAGAAGGTAGCAATGGTGAAGTTGTAATCAGTGAAGAGCCAGCGTTTGAATTTTCCATCCCACGAATTTTCAGAAACATCCACAGGCTCACCCACCTGAAAGCATAAAGAGTTAGCATGAGATCCTGAACCTAAGACAAACTTCCAAAAACAGGCATTCCATTGTTGCTCAAACAGCCATGTATGTATGACAGCGCACAAATTTGCATTGTCTCAGTAAATACAGATAAAGAAGCTTTTGATTGGATTGCATGAATCATTTGTTCAACAGGTGTAATGATGGTACAACTGATCAAGCCTGGAACACACATTGATGGTGTCATTAAGAATAAACATAATGCTTTCGATTAGGAAGACTACTAATTAATCAAAGTAACGGGCCTATTAAGGAGTGTACTTGAGGCTCAGTTTGGAAGGAGTATAAATGCAATTATGTAGTGTGCAAAACCTTATATTTTGTATTATTTTACTTGTATTTGTATATACAAATTTGCATTTGTATTCCTTCCAAATTGAGCCTGAATAGAAAATCTTGAGTTTTATGGACTTCAGCACAAACTTTGAAAACATGAAAACATGGACTTCAGCTCATTAATGGCGTTCAGTTTCTGGGTAGTTAGTGTATGCAATTCTCAACGAATAACCTTTTATCTGCATGTTCAATAATGGAAAAAACACTCAGGCCTTGTTAACTTTTCGGTAAGTTATTTATCTAGATAAATGTAAGTGCATTTATTCATATAATGACCATTTTACCCATAAAAGTCTATTATTAAAAGAATCATTTTTGTATCATTTAAGTGTTGACAACTTTTCTCCTATATGGAAAAGTTAATTATCCATTTAGGAGATGGGGTAAGTGATACTCCGAAGTAAAGTTTCTCTGGTCCTTGCATAAATTTGTAAAAAGAATATGAGTTTCTTGATCAATGGGGACCAAAACCCCATTGACCGACTTTCCCCCCTCTCAAAATCCAAACAAAGAACGTCCCCTTAGTGAAGAACAAAACAACTGATGATGCGCAATCCGGCCGGTCTTAGCTGTCAGCGATCTTGCCTCTGAACCGAGTAACAAAGAACCTGAAACGGAGGAGGAAGCTCCGGGGAGGTCCCGGTGCAAAGGCTCCGAAGCTTAAGTTAGAATCCTTCAAAGGCAAGATAAACCAGATAATGCAAAGTTTGCATACCTCCTCTTTGGGGGTGGAGAGCCTTTTATAACCACCTCGCGCACTCACTCCTAGACTCCTGTCAGATCAGGAATGAGTATTTCCGTGCTTCTGCCAATTCAGGCATCATCGCCTCTGCTGGGACAGAACCGTCACTGCTCCTTTTGTCGGAGCCGTCTCTGTAACTGGAGGCAGTGGTGACAAGTGACGGTGGCAGGTGGCCGTTGGAAATGCGGCCGTCAAGCGTCAGATCCCAAGTCAGTCAGGTGCGCCGCCCTTGGATACGGACTCCTTCGGTGTCAGGTACGGCGTGGTTCGTCCAGTTCAATGCTCCAGAAGCAAAGTGCCTGGAGCGGTGCGTGAGGCAAAGTCTCGAGTTCGGATAAGGGGAGGCCCCGAACTGTCATAAGGCRGGCCAGTTCGGGTCCCTGCTTTGTGTGACTCGGGGTCAAAAGGGGAGAGTTCGGGCTCCTCGCAGGGAGTCCAATCACTAAGTAGGGAGTTCGGGCCTCTTGCTAGGGAGTTTGAACTCTAAGTAGGGAGCTCGGGCCTCTTGTTAGGGAGTTCGAGCTCTAAGTAGGGAGCTCGGGCCTCTTGCTAGGGAGTTCGAGCTCTAAGTAGGGAGCTCGGGCCTCTTGCTAGGGAGTTTGAGCTCTAAGTAGGGAGCTCGGGCACTAAGTAGTGAGCTTGGGCCTGCTACTAGGGAGTTCGAGCTCTTAGTAGGGAGCTCGGGCACTAAGTAGGGAGCTCGGGCCTCTTGCTAGGGAGTTCGAGCTCTAAGCAGGAAGCTCGGGCCTGCTGGTCCCTTCCCTTTGGCGTTTGTACCCTCGGTATGCTGTCTTGAGTGCCGAGCTGCTTGCCTTTTTTGCCACGTGCAGTGATTTGCGAGGTCGGGCCAAATCTTCCTTCATCAACAACCAATCCAAATAGAAGAGAAGGAAAGACCGCATGCTAATAAAAAGGACTATGCCACAAGCTAATGAGGAGAAGATGTTTAAAAACACATATGGTGGGTGCAGAATCAACTGTGCATATGAGTGGAGGATGAAATCATTTTTTTTTCTTTTTTTTTGATTTAGGGAATCAAATCTTCCTGAACTAAGGCCCTGCTTTTATAGGAAAGCAAAGAGAAGAAAGGGGGGTTGGACATAATTTAGAATTTCCTATAAATCAAGAGAATAAATGGGTGGAGCTCTAGTGAAAGGAAAAAATAGGGTGACGATGTGACAAATTGAGAAACGATAACCAAATAGGGTCTCGAATCTACTACCCACTAATTGTTCCCACATCCCTACACACAGACATAACAACTGCACATTGAGAATATCTCCCTTTTCATTCACAGGGAGATGTTCCCAATACATGGTGGTGGTGTTTCGTGGGTATAGATGTGGAAATTTTATGGGTAATAGATATGGAGTAATTAAATAGAAGACTCCATCGGGTAATGGGAAAAAAGAGAGGCCATCTGACATGACTAATTTTGTTATAATGTGGATAATAAGGTCATGCCCCCCTAATTTTCTAAAAAATTTAGAATGTTAGGATGAAGCAGCTTTAATGTCTTCCGTTTGGGGAGTTCACATCTGTGCCCCACAACACATCCCCACAGTGTATTGGGAACATCTTCTGATGATAGTACCAGAACCGATGATGTTATCATCGGGAAATGTTACCAATACACGACGGGAATGTGCTAACTATGGGACATTGTGGGGTGCAGATCTGATCTCCCGTTTGGGAGTCCTATCAACAATGATAGCACCAGAGACCATGATTGCCACGTGGCCTTTCTTAAAAATAATAAAAAAAGGACAAAAGAACCTAGATGTCTATAGCAACGTTTTTGAACCGTCGTTGAATCGGATGGTTGGACCGTTCGGCCCAAGAACCGTCCAAACAACCGGTTCTGTTTTATTCAAAACCTAGAATCTGGTCAACAAACCGTTGAAAAAACCAACAAACCGTTGACCCGAGCGGTCGAACCATCGACCCGTTCAACGGTTTTAACAATTTTTTTATTTTTTTAATTATTTTTTAATTTTTTAATTTTACTATCAGAATGGGTCATTCGTTCGAACTGGACAGTCGGACCGTTGACCTAGAAACCGATGCCTATAACGGTTCCGTTTTTTAAAACGTTGGTCTATAGTCCCATGACTTTAATTTGCACCAAGTCACAAATTGTAATTTCAAGGTCTTTAATTCAAAACCAAGTGACTCGTTGCGTGGGAATCGGAATTCAGTCCTGTACTCACACCTTTCTCACAACAGTTGTAGTCCTGTAGTGGAAACATGAATGAAAAACATAATTATAGAGAAGTTTTAAGATTTAAATAAATGATTGTAAGCGTTGTAAGGAGGGTGTGAGAACTGAATCCGATCTCGTTGACTGATTGCTTTAGTCAACCCAAGCTATGGCATGAAAATGGGACAATGGTGTGATCTCGCAGGAAAATTTTGGCCGTCTACGTTCACGGTGCTTTCTTTGTGCAACACGTTCACGGCGCTTTCTAGCGTGCGTGTCAAATGGAGAAAGAGAGAGAGAGAGCATGTGGACAGGACAGGCTGTCGAACGTGGACAGCCAAAGTTATCAGGCCTGCACATGCTATCACTAGGACCGTGGCACAGCCTACGGACAGGATCAGCGTAACAAATTGGAAAATGTCAACCAACGGGACCACGTAGAAAGAACCAGACATACGCATGCTGATCCCTAGGTGATCCTTTTCTTTTCTTTCAATAAAATAAAAAATATATATTTACAATAAAAGATAATTAAAAGAATTAATAGATGGATATAAAACATAAATTATTGTAGCGTACGCTGTAACGCAACTTACGTGAGGTATACAAATCCAAGGGTTGGTATATATAATGGTATTACTTCAGCTGTTCAGCATGGATGATTGGATTCTATTTCTCATTCTTTTTTTTTTTTTCTTGTTATTAGTTAGATGCTATATATTTGGGATTAGTTCTCACAACATTAAAAATGTTTTAGCAGCACAGCATGACATGGTGGACTTGATATTAATTTTGATTAATTCTTCTCGACGGTTTCCATTTACGTATCTACTTGTTTCATTCGGAGCTACAGATGTCGAAGTTGGTCCCGGCCGACTCGTTTTGTGGTATTGGCTTGGACTCTATCAAGTATCAACTATGATCACCGGCCTCCTGTCCTGTGATCCATCGTTGTTCGTTAGGCTGCTTTAATTTTATATATTAGGCCATGACTGAGTCTGGCTTAATTAGCTTCTAATTCTATATATCCAAACAAGCTGATGAATTCACAGGACACAGCTCGTTATTTGCATGTAAACAACCATGGTCAACAACTTTTAATGAATGGAAAACTATCAAGATCCAAAGAAAAGATTATATTGGTCCTCTGGGCCATCAGAAACCCAATAACCATTAATCCTAAATATGCTACTGAGAAACACGGAGTACTTACAGTGGTAGAAAGCATGCAGAGCAAGGATTGCATTTGGTTTCTTGCCACAGAGTCCCCAACAAAGGCCATGGACTTCCCTCTGACAATGTCCAAGAACTGCCGGGCGTCGAAGCGAGGTAGCTCGCAGTCGCCGGGCTTCCATCTCCAGTACAAGTAGCCGGTATCGGGTCTCCCATGGAGCATGCAGTTTTGTTGGTCATGTATATGTTTGCAAGTCATATTGGTGTAATAAGGTCCCTGGGTTTGAGGGATCCATTCTCCACTGGATATATCACACTTCTTCCTAATTAACCTAAGCGGTTTTGATTCATATGCAACTTTCCTGTGACTGTGAGAAGGGTAAGAGGAGGAGGAGGAAGCAGGAGTCTGATATACACAGAGAGGGATGAGAGTGAAACAAATGAAGGTTAGGGTGAGGACTAGAAGGAGAAATCTTAGGATATTATGGGGGATGGTCTTCCCCTGTGGAAGATCAGCTACGTTAATCTTCATTGAAGAAGAAAACCAAGAACGGAGACACCTACCTTGTGTGCATGTGCTTATATAGAGACTTATAATCACAAGGAGCTTCTGTTTCTGTTATCATGTTTCTTCTTTCTTTCTTTTTTTCTTTTTTCTATGGATGTTGAACGTGTTATGAAAGTAATCTTCATTTTTTCTTTTTGAAATTTTAAGTATGAAAAAGACCGTTGAAGGCTTGAAGCTAAGCCGCCCTTGGTTTCAATATTTTGAGATAAGGACACGTTTGGCGTAGAATTAGGCTATCTCTCTCTTCCTTTTCTTTTATTGATAATAAAATGGAATATTTTTGTGTAATATGAATCTGATGGGTTTCAATGTTTCAACGTGGGCATTTAGGTAATTGAATTAGTGAACAGTGAGATGGTGGATCCATTGGAAGTTAATTGGTAAATAAGAGCCCCTGTTATTTGAAAATTAAAAAAAGAAAAATTCATTGGATTCATTCATGTTCAAAAAATCGGGTGGTCTAAGTCAGCACTCAGCAGCCAGCAGCCAGCCAGGGAAGAAGACAAAAAGTTAAAAGTCGGAAGGAAGCGAGTGAGGCGTTTGGGTCGTCAAACTCTGAGGCGTTAAATAAAAAAACTTCTGATTCGAATATCTTCCTGTGAGTTGTGACCTGACTTTCGCTCCTATTTTAAAAGAGGAAACGCTCCCATTCTCGGCGGATGTTAAAAGTAAAACCATCGATGTCATCAAAATCTACAGAACTTTTCAGAAATTAAGAAGCGTGACCCTATCATCCACCGTTTTCCTCTTTTACATGGTAATAAATTATAAAGACCCCCTAGGAGTCAATGACAAATAGACCTAAATTTTCATTTACAACAGAGTCCCTTTAAACTTTCACGTTTTAACAAATACCCCTGAACTTTTATTTGCAACAAAGACCTAATCTTTCACTTTGTGACAAATAAATACCCCTTGACTGTTAAATTACCAAAATGTGTACATCAACTTTCCTTATTTTCTTTTCCTTACCCTTTTCTCTTAAACTCTAATTGACCAAAAATACCTCCATTTTTTTTTCCTAAAGAAATAAACTAAAATAACAAGAATCATTTCATTGGCATAGAATTTTTTTTTTTTTTTAAATTCTTGATTCATTTCACTGTCCTGAATGTCTCTCTTCATCTTAAAATATAAAAACTATCCACTCCTTTCTAATAAATCAAAAAAAAAAAAACAAACAAAATCATAAATTTATATCTATAAGAAAGAAACCTCTACAATTTTATTTGAATACTGTATCCAGCCAAAAATCTGCGCAAAGATACATTGGAGAAAATGAGAGGACTTCAATGTTATATTTAGAAAATCAATTGAATCATAAGTCATCTAAATAAATAAGAAAAGTGTAGTTTAGGTATTTGAAAAATTGTAAACAGGTGAATGAGATCAACTTTTTCTGAGTTACTTGACAAAACTCTTAATAAAGGAGGTATTTGTCACAAATTGAAAGTTCAAAGGGGTTTTATTGCAAATAAAAGTTTAGGATGTATTTGTCACTAATCCTCTAGCACAGCGGGTCATTGTAATTTACCCTTTATAGTAAAAGCAAAAGTGTTTTTCAGGTTTTACATTCACAAATATATATATATTTTTTTACTTTTTAAGCAAAATTTACATCAATTGTATCACACAACAAAAGATATGAATTAATAATAAAATGATATTTCACAGTTGATATCAAGGTTTTTAAAATCGGATTGGACAGGGAATTGTTCTGGGACCGGTTTTCGGATTGAGCGGTTCAGCCATCTGGTTCGAACAGATAACCCGTTCTGACAAAAAATAAAAAATGGCCAAAAACATTATCCAGATCGACAGTTTGACACTTTGACCGCCCGGATAAGTGATTTGCTGACCAAATCAACACATTTTTGCAAAAAAAAAAAATGATTTTGGGGTGAAATGGAATTTTTCTGGTCTGATTGTCCGGTCTAGTCCGATTTTGAAAATCATAGTTGATATCTTTGAAGTTATTAAATTTTTGATGTAAAACAATTCACAAGAGTAAATAAGTAGAATATATAATGTATGATTGATTGAAATCTTGATTTAATTCATAGGTAACGTGGCGTTTTAGGAGATTTCAATCGAGCATGGGCCCTATTAGTTAGCACTAGAGTTTTGTTCTGATTAGGGGGTGGCAATTGTTAAGTGTGAACGTGGGAAACAAAGAAAGAGACAACGCAAGTTTAGAACACGTGCATGGCCCACATGCCAACTGGGAGGTGGTGGAACTCTTGCAATTGGAATGAGAGAGAGAGATGACTTCATGTGTCATCTCCACTTACATTGGGGGGGGNGGGGTTCATACTTGCTTAGTTTCCATGACAAGTAGATACTAAGAAACTGAATGCTTTGATTCAAGTATGCTATAATTTTAGAGTTTAATTAATTATTATTGTTTTGTAAGATGGTAGTATCGAATATCGATCTAGCTTAGCGCTCAAGTCTGAAGAGGTGGGTGGTACTGGGCTTTCGAAGCAGATGTGGCTTTCACTCAATTAGGTGCAATTGATGAGCTGTGATATGGATGGATTGAATATATCCACACTGATGGCTGATTGAGAAATGCTAATAAAATATTCTCTACTCAGTAGGGTGATATTGATTTGGTTGGCCGAGTCTATTAATAATTATAAAATGTCATGTTATTGGAATAAGAATGAGCCCAAGTGTATGACATGGAACCACAAGAACCGCATCACTCTCTCTCTCTCCTCTTATTTATATCTCTAGCTAATTCTCTGTTCGGCCATGGCGTCGGCCTGAGTCTATTTGCAGTGCCAACTCTTGCTTCTGTCTCCACAACTCCACAACTAATCGCTGTACAGAGTTCATACTTACTGGTGGGTTTTGTCTATTAATATTATTACTCAATTCTCAAGACGTCATCGCATTAATCTAATATCCTTGTGGCTGTGGGACGATGATAACTTCATCTTCCCATTAAAAGAACCAATTATTATGATTTATGAAGAACCCACTTGATACACGTATTTAATTAGGCCTATGAAGCCAAAGTTTTTAGTTGGGAACACGCTGGTTTAATTTCTCGAATTAATATTATTGGCAAAGAGAGAATTAATGGTGAAACTTAGAAGTGCCAATTCTGAACTTGTAATTAATTAGAGTAATGGGTTTTTCAGTTTGCTCAGGAAAGAACAAGAACATATAGAAACGGGTTTCAATTTCTCTTCACCGATTGAAAGCTAATCTGTGAGCCTGTGCAGAACAATTCCTCTTCCTCGTTGCAAAAATTAATATTTGAGGGATCTATGTCTCGACTCAACTACCGAATAGGGAGTGAGAGTATTCTTGTGTTGAGGAGTGACATTAATTGAAAACCAAATGAGATTTTAAAAGAGTTGTGGAGTTGACTTGGATGAAAAATTCTATTTCAGTGATGCTTGGCTAGTTATGAGAAGCTTCAAGATTAAAAAGGAGATTGACTATGATGAGATAGTCCCCTTCTCAAAAAAGCTAAAAATAAAAATAATTCCACTTGTTTGGTACTATGTCCAGTTACAAATTTGGATCTAAGTGGTCAACACTGAGATCATTCGATCTATTTAAATACATATACTTTATAATTAATTATATGGAATAGATTTACAAGTCTGAAGTAAGACATGAATTATATATAAATCATAATTAGGTTTGTACATCCACGAAATTGTGTATGCTTAGAACAACCAAGATCTATCATCCTATTCATATTACAAACTCAATTAGATTCAGTTAAAACAGCCATCAATTCATCATTACAAACACAAAAAATGCATGTTCCTTCTAGGATGAACATGCTATATAGAGGGAAAAATGGGTCAGCCTCCAAGTCGGTTTTTAAAATATTGGAGTAAAATTTAAATTGGGGAAAATTTTATTTTAACTTTTATTAACTTCTGGGGTATAAGTTTATTATTTTTTATTTTTTTTCTGATATCATACTCAGTCAATGGGCTTGTGAAAGCTGAGCTAAGTAGGGAGCCCAACCCAAATTACCAAAATTTGAAGCCAAAACAATGTATTATGCTTGCAATGAGGTAAACACACACCGGATATTCCACCTATACACATGACATGAAAACAATAATTTGTTACTTGTTAGGGATGATGAGAGAAATTTCACTACAATCAACAAAACAACTCATGCTCTGCAATCTGCAATCCCCATGCTGGCTGTGACTGTGAGCCTGGGATTTCTCTTATTTGGGCTTGGGCTGGAACTGGATATATCGAAGTGAACAAAATTCTGCCACCCATTTACAGAATGGGGTTGAAAATGGAGGCCCAAATGGCCCAACTTAGAAAATCTTAACAGTAACAGTTCTGGCCCAATATGTATTGGGAGTTGGCATTGGCACCCCAGGCCCAGCTGAAGTATTGATACGGCAAACTACGTTCATAGAGTAGTAGTAGACTAGTAGTGTATATATATGTATATATATCAATACATCATATCAACTAAGATATTTTTAAGTTGGAATGGGCCATCCATTCGAAACGGATGCTTGAACCATCAACCTAGAAACCAATGACCAGAACAAATCCGATCAAATGGAGAGAGCGTTAAATTCTCTCTTTTATATATAGGTATATGGATTAGAGATTGAAAACAGAACAAAAGAACAAGACCTAGAAGTCCAATCCAATCATATAAATAAGATGGACCATTAACTCTAGACTGGTCCTATTCAATATGTCTTATTGATCGGTCCAATCCATTCAAATTAATTTTGATATATATATACATATCTTATTGATGACTAAATATCTTAGTTGGTATGATGTAAGAGTTGCTCTTAATTATCAATGCCACAAGTTGTATGTCTTTATTAGTTTTTCAGTACATGAACATGGGGAATGGATATCTCATCCTGCTACAGAGCACACAAATCAGTTCATATATCTATATGCGATATCAAGTGAAAAACAGTTTCCTATTAATTACTTTTATTGTTAACAGAGTGGCCATCTAACAATTTGGTTGTAATGCTCATGGAACAACGACGACGTACCATCCATTCA